TAGGCAAAAAATCCTACTTCTTGATGAGAGAAGTAGGATAAGGTGCCATTCAAGGAGACTGACTCATAAGAGCATTTTATTCCTTCTCAGGGCCTTTGCACCAATTTTCACTGAGTGCTACCATTTGCTCAATCTCCTGTTGATCTTTGCAAGATAAATGTGGTGTGTTTTCTCTCCCTTGAGGACTCACATGTATTGAACATGAGATCTGTGCAAGGTATGACATGCATGCCTACCCAGAGGGTTGGGCATTTCTTTATCCTGAAGATCGGAGGTCAGACCTAGTCCACAGTTCTCCAGATGAGAGTCCATGTCCTGGAGGGGTGGATGACTCCCATCACCTCCATCTATCACCGTGAGGGGATCCAGGACATCTCTACAGAGGCAGAGGACACCTCTGCTCAGACCTTCCAGGCTCTTGACATGTTGCAGAGAAGAATTTAATGAGGTGTCAGGTTTTAGCAAAGAGGAAGAGCTTTATTAGAAAGTCAAAGTTGAAGATACCTAATATAGTTAGCCTATATTGCAGGTTTCTTAAAATACATCTCCCTTTGTTTCATCTTACATGAAATTGCATTGTGTAGGATAACAGTGCACTTAAGCTTTAATCAAAGTAAGGCAATTTTTATAGAGGAGTGAATTTTCACTAATTCTAAGATCTGTAGATTTCTCAGAAATTTGAGGAGGTCAGACCTGGAGGATAAAAGAGGAGATCATGAGGGTTTTACATTTACAACTATAGTCTCTTTTTTTTTCCTTTCCTTTTGTTCCCTTTCTACCTACCTTTATTTCTTCTATCCTACTTCACATGCATGGAGACAAAAAGACCCAAACCAGTAACAAAACAGCTCATGTTAAGGTTCTGTCCTCTTGGAGAGGTGCTGAAGCAAGTTCAAGGAGAACGTAGAGGGAAGAGGAGTGAGTGTTTGAAGACATAAATCAACTGTCAACCATTTTAAGGGTAGATTTTTCTCTTCCTTCAAAGAGAAGAATCTGAGCTCCTTCAGTTGCAGGTTGATATCTACCACCCCATCCCCCATCCCAAGCAGCAGGATGTTGACTAAGCCCCAGGCAGCTTCCCATTCACTGGGGATCCTCCCCTGAGCCAGAGGAGGATGCCTGGCTGGAATCTCCTCCCTCTCTTCCTGTTTTAAATTTGATTTTCCTAGAAATCCTAGTCAGGGTGTGTTTGTCACAGATGGGGTGGACAATGTTTCCCCTTTCCTTCACTCTTCTGCCAAAAGAGAGGATATTTACTACCTCCTTAATAAATCACAAAATCCACCCAATCCAAAGTTGACAGGTTACCCCCCTCCCTAGAGGAGGACCCCCATGTGAAGAGTGCTGACTTCATTTTGCTCAGTTAGCACTTTTATAAGGTTTCTTGCTGATTTCCCTTGGTATCACCATCCTGGACTAAGGAAAGGGTGATTCCATTTTTATTTTCTGGCCGAAGCATTCTTCCTTCTACTTATATCCTGTAATCAACTAAGATAGATTGGGCATGGTGTTTAAAATAAGGCTGCTTGGAGCCCAGCCTCTGACATGGTGACCAGTCATCACAGTAGTTGGATCCTTATTGAAGAAGACCATCCTCCTCCACCCAGAAGCCCCACCTGTTGGGAAAAGGTATAATGGCAGCTACACCAAAAAAAAAAAAAACCCAACATGGCACCTAAGGAGCTTCTCTTCCTGCCTCTCCCTTTCCTGCTGGCACCAAAAACCCCCACCGGTGCCAATTTCAAATCTCGCTGGCAGGAAACCTTAGCCCCAATAAGAACTAATTTCGTGGGCTCCGGAACTGACATCTGGAGGAGCTTACCAATAAACGAGTGACCCGTCATTTACCTAAGCCCTGCCATCTCTCCTTAGATCTATATAAGCCCACAGCCTTTTGTAATAAAGTGGAACTCTCCCCGGCGAAGTGTCTTGCGTGGAGGAATTCTTCCACCACCCATCACTCCACCACCCATAGCCCTTCCATCCGGGTCCCTCTCTCACCACCGTACCTCTTCCCTCTGGTGGTAATATAGAAACAACCCTTTGCAAGAAGAGTTGTTTCCTAGACGCCATATTTAAATGTTTGTTCCCCAAATTCCATGTGTTGGAAAGTTAATCCCCAGAGCCGACAGGGTCAGACCAGTTAATGGTATTTGGAGGTGGAACATTTGGAAGGCGAATAGGTCATAAGGCCTGTCCTCATTAGTAAAGTGATCCATTCATTGATTAACTGATTGGTGGATCACTGAGGGACTGGAATTGTTATAAAACTGAGCCTTCTCTAGAACCCTTGCTCGGTCTCACCCTGTGGTGTCCTCTGCCATGTTATGATCAGCAAGAAGGCCTTCACCATGTGCCAGCACCATGCTGTTGGACTTTCCAGCCTCTAGACCCTGAGCTAAATAAGTCTCTTATTTTTCGTAAATTACACAAACTATCATATTCAGTTATAGGAATGAAAACAGACTCAAACACCAATGTCGCATCATCTGAAAGCAGAAGAGAAGGGAGGTTCATGGTAGTATCAGATGAGCATGACTTTCCTTCCCAGGGCCAGTGTCAGACCCCACTCTCCATCAACATCTGAGAAACACCACTGGCCCCCATGGATCCAGCTGCAACTGAGTCCTGTACCTCGATAGCTGCCAACTAAAGCAGAGAGCACCTCCTGCATTGCATGTGTGTGCCCTGCTGCCTCCCAGGAAAGGCACCTTTAACCAGACCAGGTGCAGGTAACCCTGTTGAGGATGTGTGGCGTCAGCAGGGGTTTGGCTGCAGCCAATGGCAGATTCCATGGGGGAGAAAAATGACCATCCTCAGCTTCACAAAGATGTGGAGAGTAAAGGGTGCAGTTTAGTTGATTCTGGTTCCTTGGAAGGAATTCAGCTTTGTTTCTTAATTGGTGCATTGTAGTTATACACATAAATGTGGTTCACAGTGACATAGTTGTACATGCATAGAACATAATTTGGTAGACTTCATTCCCCAGTACCAGCTTTCCCTCCCCCCCACCTTCTTCTGATCCACTTCCTCTACTCTGCTGAGCCATTTCCTCTCCTCTTCATTTTCATGAGATCCCCTTTTTATTCATTTTTTTCTCTAGTTTCCACATATGAAAGAAAACATGCAACCCTTAACTTTCTGAGTCTG